CTTTGTAATATTTAATAATTTTGTAAATGGCAACATTTAATATTTAGTAACTTGTAATTGGCGGCCCACCAGCGGCCGAGCGGTAAAAGTCGCTGAACACTGGTAGTTCGGTCCGAGGTTCGAATCCCGCGAACAGGCTGACTGCATGGGCGTTTTCATGGTTTTCCCCATGTGTAACTTGTATATGAGCCAGTTTTCCCTTAGAAAGTACTCTACGAAGGCATCCCTCCCCTTAGGCAGATAGCCCTAGTGTGCTTTGCCATAATTAAATAAACCACACCAAACCAAACCAAACTTGTAATTGCAACACTTTGGATACTGATATGAAAATAGAACAATACTGGTATTGCAGGTCTCTGTAATATTATACACTCTATTACTATAAATAAATAGTTTATAAAAACTAAAAGTGCACCCTCATTATTTTATATGGTGTCAGGAGCATAATAAAAAGGGATTTTCGAAAGAAATGCCATCGAAAGTCCTGCAGTATGGAGAATATTTTTCAGTTTTACTTTTGGGAACTTATGTGGCAACGGCAGTATACAGATTCTAGTTTAGATAATTTTAAATAGTTTTTGTATGCTGTTCAGGAATTCTGTGTCTCACATACCGAAGAAACAGAAACTTTTAAATAAGGTAAGTCGATATTTCCTTTTTGTATTGCGTAGATTACATAACATGTATTTACATTCTTAAGTTATTTCCTTGTTTGATTTAAAATGCAGTTTATCGAGAGTATACATTTTTTTAAGTATTTACATTCTTAAGTTATTTCCTTGTTTGATTTAAAATGCAGTTTATCGAGAGTATACATTTTTTTAAATTATGTTTTATTGCATTATTAACTACAATTTATGGTTGCAATTATTTATTGCAATTAACTACTAACAGTACCATACAATGGGTTTTAAAAAAGTTTCGTGCCATGCAAATATCGTCTGTGCAAATAGTTCGCACTGGCGTGTTTAATTATATTTTATCAAACAATTTTTGGCATTTGAAAGAAAGAGACTTGCTATAGGACATTATGTTTTGAAATTTGTAAAAAATTATCATTAAGTACAAGGTGTCTGAAATGGAACTATAACGCTACCAGATTAGAACCATCATTTACTTTCAGTTCTGTTGTAATATGCCAGCTACAGAATGTCACCAAATCATGTGTAGAACTGTAGGTACTAATGTTGCATCATATAATACTGCAAAAGTTTGGTACCGAAAGTTTAAAAAAAAGGACTATGACATTCAAGAAGCAGAACACTCTGGCTGGCCTAACTGATATTGAGAAAAACCCGCCTGCAAGAACTTGCGAAAGAAGATCAGTATGCAATCACTCGAGAGCTTAATCAGACGTTACACGTTAGTGCCATATGCATTAGTTGCTCTATGCATGGCATAAACTTGACGTACAAGTTCAATTCCTGCAGATGAGGACAGACATATTTTGGCCCGCACTAATCTGCTTAAATATCAAAGCAAGGACAAAATTTTGAATCGGATCATCACTTGTTGTGAAAAGTGGATTTACTTCAACAACACAGGCGTAATAAGGGGCTCGTCTGTGTCCAGTGAGCCCATCGGCAGCATCACAAAGTGCAATTTGACTAACAAAAAGATCATGCTTTGTACCTGGTGGGACTGCCATGGTATTATCCACAAAGAGCATCTGGAAAAAAGTAAAACCCTCGATGTACAGCGAGATACTAAGTCAGTATTGGTGCTGCTATCAAGGGAAAATATCAAACTGGGTTCTAGAACAAAAAGGTAGTGTTCCATCAAGATAACATAAGACCACATGTGTCTGCATTCACCGGCTGGACTCTATACAGACTCAAATGGGATCTTCTGCCACACCTACCATATAGCCCCAACATTGGTCCTTCGAACTTCTACCTTTTTTCACACCTGTAGCTACATCTTGGTGGCGCTATCTTCCATTCTGTACAAGACATCTCAAATGAGGTAGATCTGTTTTTTCAGTAAAAGTATACTTTAGGGTACCCCTTAGCGAAACTTGGCGATTTTTTGTGGTACATGAATACCGATTTTGTGCAATTCTTTGACTCGTTATTTTGGCTTGCGAAGCGGCAATTTTTGCGCCGCTACACAAAGCCAAAATAACAAGAAAAACAATTGCACAAACTCGCCATCCATGTACACATCGACTTATTTTCACTTTAAAAAAAAATCCCTGAATTGCACAAAAATGGCACTCCTTTGACTCCTTCATTGTGAATCCCTTTGAATTTATCCATGTACACGGTTGACCTATTTTCACTCATAAAAAAAATCCCGAATTGCACAAAAATGGCATTGTGCACTCTTTTAACTTTATCCATGTACAGGTCGACCTATTTTCACTTTAAAAAAAATCCCAGAATTGCACAAAAACTATGCATTGCGCACTTCCCTTGACTTTGTCCATGTACACATTGATATATTTTCACTTAAAAAGTCAAAGGAGCACCAAATTCTACAAAATAGGCAAACAAAAAATACGTAATCTCAATAAAATACATTTTAAACCAAACAATAAAACATAAAAAAGAAAAACATGTTATACATTTAAGCACTACCAAAAGCAAATATTCACTTACAATGATTTTCGAGTTCGCTTCGTACACCCAGAGCCACGCAAAAATCAAAATATCAATCATACTCAAATGACTTTTTTCAAACCACGTACTCTTTCTGATCGAACACTTCACATAGTGACCATCTGAACCTTTCTTCCTACAAACCCATTCAAATCCATCTAAACGGTTTTACGTTCGACTAGACGCATATCCTTCCTACATACAGGACATATATAATGGCTACTAAGTAAACCTTCATTTACACACCAGTCAATTAAAGCTCTTTTCCCTTTTCGCTCCAAATCGTACAGAAACTTCAAATTAATCTTACTACATTCGGCCATTCTACCATCTAAAGAATCAAACCAACACACACCACAAAAACGCTTACAAAACATCCCATGATTCAAAATTTCCCAGAATCATGCATCCGATTATGTCACAATAGGGTTTTCATAACATTCAACTTCTCAGGCTACCATAAATGAAACAACAACTTCGCCATAATACAAGGGGTACCTTATAGTCTACTCTACCCATTATTTCACTTGCTGCTACCAAGTTTCTGGGCTGAAGGCTTTGAAAAACTACCATAACATTGGCAGAAAATCATTGATTTGGGTAGTGATTACTACCTATCCTAAAGGTACTGCTTTCATGTTTTTTTTTTTTTTTTTGTTGTTGTTGTTGTGTTGTTGTTTCCCTTCCTAACTTTATTAAGAATGTTTTTTTTGCAGAAAACTTTCATTACAGCTAGGTATATGAAAAGATTTTAGCTTTAAAAACGTAAAATGAAGTTGTGTTTAGCTACTATCAAAAACTGCATTGCTATAAAAGATTTTAAATAATACATATATAAGAGCTGATATCAAATTTTTGATTATTTCCTAGGAGATATATAAAATAACCAATAAATAAAAAAGCATATTTATTTAATGCATCAGAAAATCATTTTATAGCTTTCTTTAAAAGAGTTTTACTCTCATATGCAACAGAGACTCTTGAAAAAGAACTTTGTTTCTTTTCAGATTTAGCTTTTAATCCAGTTTTTGTTAGTTTTAGGAGATATGGTAACTGAATCATGACATCTTTTGTTGCCTCTACCTAAAAAAGCAAAAATTATCAATGTTTTGCATTTTAGCTACTTAGTCAACAGTGGGTTTGGAAAGTTTACACAGAATAAAAGCTTAAATTGTGATAGGAGAACCAGCTTTTAAATATCAATCCATATAATAATCTTGCCAAGATTATCCATTATTTCTAATCATTTACTATATATTTTATACACGAATGCAAATAAAGAAGCATACTAAATGTGTGATAGTAAATCATTCAGGTTCCTTCATTAGAGATAAGTTTATTGATACTGGAATTAATAAATTAGCAAACCTTACTTACTGATATTACAGGAATGCTACAAATTTATATTATGATATATTTAGCACAAATAAAAAGTTCACAAAATCATAAGACATAGAAAAGTTATTTGATAATATAAATAACATTGCCATGTAAAAAAAGGTAATGGAATGGTTCCATTAAACAATAAAGAAACTTGATTTAATTTTTACAAATGTAATTTTTCAACTGACATAAATATGGGTGGCAATATTTCAGATTAGAGCTTTATGGGTAAGTGTAATTCTGCTGATTAGAACAGTTTTCGTGAACATGAATCCAGAAACCACAACATTGAAAGTACATTTCAAATTTAGAAGTAACTAGAAGTTTGCTTTACTGTTTTTTAAATGTTTAACATTTGCTGATTTTATACTTCTGTTTATATTCACGGCTGCTGACTTATTCTTTTTCCCATGTCATGTTCCATGCATAGTATATCAATATTATTACGTTTTCGGAGAGTTGTTCGAAACTTGGAAAAGAAACAAAAAAAAAAAAAAAAACCCACTTTGGTTCAATTCGTGTATACTATCATACTAATGACACCAACTGTCGGCGCGAGTTTGATGACTTCATTACAATTTTACACTACTTTTCATGACTAAAATACTACGAGGTGACAGAAAAAAAAATTCATATCATAATATTTGAGGAGTTCCACAAGTTAACAAACTTAACATACATTTAGTTCGCAATATTCAGAGCAGGATAGGCTAGATTTCCCAAAAATTTAAAACACTTTATTCTAAATCAATCGAACTGTTTTAATCCTACGATACCACAATTATTACACGGATATAATGGATCATAAACTCATTTCTGTGAACTTCATCATATAATTAAAAGTTGAATCACATTTAAAAAGGAAATTTTCAACAAAATGCAAGTTTTCTCATTATGACGCTGCTAAAGTACCTGTCGAATACAGAAAAACATGTAATTTATTTATTAAAAGTATAACTCAAGTCATATTCAGAGGCCCGTAGTATTATTTAAATATATTTCATAAATCTAACTTACACTCTAAAAGACATGTTCGAAAATTATTTAAAAAATGAACTCGTACAAAATCACAGTTTTAAAAACCGAATAGGGTCGTCAATACATATTCCTTGGTCAATCCATAAACACTAGAGCTGGAGCAAATCGCATGTATTCGTTACCGAGTAACGGGTACATCGGCTGACTCGAAGTATCGATTCGGTACTCACAAATTCATTTCGTTACTCGCATCTGTCGTATGATGCGGTTTATTCGAGTACGAATGATGCGGTTGCTATTCGAATACGTATGATGCGGTTGCTATGCAAATACGAATGATGCGGTTTCTATGCGAATACGAATGATGCGGTTGCTGTTCGAATACGAATGATATATTTGCTAACAATACCCGTGTGCCACATTTTTCATTGATAATTTCGAATTTTTTTGGTTAACTCATCGGGCAAACTCTTGTTTACGTTATGTGTTTTAGTTGAAATATTGTTTAGTTGTTGATATTTAAGAAAATGATCAATTTTGATAGCGTGAAGCGTTATTTTGTATTTGCTTTTCACATTTAGATATATAGTGCATATTATGTTTGTAATTTGAAAATTTAGATGATTATTAATTTTTTTTCTTGAGCGTGCCATAGGGAGATTTTATTGATTTGAAATATTTATATACTGCACTTAGGTATTGTTTAAATAAGAATATGTAGGTTAATATAAGTTCTTTACTTCCTTGTACGAAATAAAAAGGAAGTAAGTATTGTAATCGAGAAAAATTTTTGGGTATCATATTTCAACGGAAATATCCATTTTTGACGATTACAGAATCCATGTGAATTATTTTTTGGGTGACGTCTGTACGTACAAACACAATTTTTTTTTTTTTTTTTTCCAGAAACGGATTGTTAAATGTAATCCCATTTACTCTAAGCTGATACTTATGACTAATGATTATGACTCTAAGTTGATACTTGAAAGGGATTTTTTCGTGATGTGTAAGTACGTATATATGCATTTCGCATAACTCAAAAACGATTAGTTCTAGAACGTTTAAATTTTGTATATGGGCCCGTTATAGCATCTAGATGTGCACCTCCCTTTTTATTGCAATCGGTAATACTACGAAACGTAAATATGTATATTTAAATAAATTATAATTAAATGTAAAGTACATATATATATATATCCTTATAATTAAATGTAAAGTACACACATATATATATATAAATATAAAATAAAAGCCAAGTAAGGCGAAAATAAAAGCCTTGGTTTTTATTTTATTTATTTATCACTAAGTTACTTGGCTTTTATTATTTTACCAGAGTATAGATAGAAATTTGGTTATGTAGCCTATTCTTCTAAAACTACGTTTCGTCGCTGCCTTCCCCCCACCAATTCCCCTCTTTTTTTTCGGTTTCGGATTATTTGGTTACGGCAATGCACACTAGGGCTATTGCCTAAGGGAAGGGATGCCTTCGTGGAGGACTTTTTAAAGGAAACTGGCTCATATGCAAGTTACACATGGGGAAAGCCACGAAAACGCCCTTGCAGCCAGCCGTTAGCCGGCCCGAACTATTAGTCGAATTGAACCAGCCTTTACCGCTCGAGCGCTGGTGGGCTCTTCGCTGTTTTGAAAAAAGGTGTTCACTTTACGATAAAGCAAGCACCTGTTTTCTTCAATTAAAACAGGTTAGACGATATGACTCTTACTACTTCATTCTCACTTAGCTTTTGATTTCTAATATTGATTCAATATTTTCTGTAGACATTCTGATTAGAATAATGGATTTCAAACATGTGCAAAAGGTGTGTATCTGAATATAATTAGGTTTTTATAACATAGGGCCCATTTTATTAATTTATAAAGCAATATTATCGCTGTTTAACCACATTATCGCTGTTTTGAAAGAAAGCAAAAATGTGACAAATGTATAATGAACATTAATATACATGCTTTACTAGAAATTCACCCTTTCGTCATTAGCGGTTCTGATGAAAGGAATGGGGAGAAGCAGCAAACGAAATAACGAATAACGGACAAATAACGAAATCTAATCTTTAATGCCGTCTCCCAGTTTCTTTAGCCCACCAGCGGTCGAGCGGTAACGTCGTTGAACACTGGTAGTTCGGTCTGAGGTTCGAATCCCGCGAACGGGCTGGCTGCATGGGTGTTTTCGTGGTTTTCCCCATGTGTAATGTGTATACCAGCCATTTCCCTTAGAAAGTCCTCCACGAAGGCATCCCCCCTTTAGGCAGATAGCCCTAGTGTGCTTTGCCATAATTAAATACACCAACCCAGTTTCTTTATTTGTATTTGGGAAAGTTTTATTGTCACTATGAAAAGTGAAATTTGATATGGATACCGCATAACTTTTTAAATTATGCTTATTTTTGCTGCACTTCATTTAAACTTATTTCCTCGAATTATTCTAACTTAATTAAGCGATACCCGAAGGCAAGTTACAAATGGCATCAAAACACTGCTGCAAATTTTGAAATTAAATTTCCCGGTCAATCTCTGTCCTACGGGACTCAAACTTCTTGTATTTTTATTTTTTCATAACGAGTATAAAACTTTGCCAGCTATAAATATAGGAACCAGAAGACAACATTAAAAGTTAGATTTCATAATTTGTCCAAAATTAATTCTTTTTAAAATTTGACATTGACAAAATATGAATATTTTCGTCATTTAAAATACTTCTGTATTTTTGTTGCACCGTATTTAAACTTGCTTCTTCGAGTTATTGACATTAAATTACATTAATTCCGTTATCTATTAGAAAATAATTATAGCAAATCATCTAATTACGACATCTCTAAGAGGTCACTTTCTAAGAGATCTGTATTTTTTGAGAACATAAACAAACATTGGTAGTGAACATCACCTTTTTAAGACCACGACATGTAAAATCCTCTAAAAAGCATGAATGGTTGCATTTAAAGAGGACCCATTACTTTTAATAAAGAATGTAACATTAATCTTAATTATACATGTTTTTGGTGTGTGTGTGCCAAAATAGTGATACCGTGGTTCTGTTGCTTTAGAAATGTGTGAAATTTTAAAAAAAATGGATACTATATAACAAAAATGTTGCTTATATTCTAGATACACTCACCTTCTTGAACACGTCTGAAATTCATTCTTCTGCTCAGCATAATTCGTCTGCATAAAATAATTAAATAGTATTAGAAATCAAAAGCTAAGTCGAAGTAGAAACAGTCATCTCTTCTAAACCATTTTAATTGAAGTAAACAGACGTTCGTCTTATCGTAAAGTAAACACCTATTTTTCAAACAGCGGATGAAAACGGGAAAGAGGGAATTGGTGGGGGAAGGCAGCGAACGAAATGACACTTTTTGGAGCTGGGATGAAATGAGAAAGGACGAAAAGGTACTAAGCCAATAAGACAAGGTCTGGTATTTTACTTTATAATTTAACTATTCATCATAAATTTAAGAATTATTTTAATTTTTATTTGTCTTTACATTTTTGTTAAATTTTACTTATAAGTATTTTATATTTCAGTTGCTAATTATTATGTTACTTTAATTATTCATTATTTTAATCACTATTTTTTATTATTTTAATTATTAAGTTTTTTAATAAGTAATTTTTTTGTATTATTTTAATTACTAATTAATGTTATTATTGTAATATTTATTTTATTTCGTTATTTTATTTTTTCCTATTTTCCTGACGGCCTTCCGTAGGCGCTTCTGACTTCTGAGACACCACAAAAGGAGGTGAATTATTTGTATCTAAAAATACGACGTAAAACTCCCTATCGCATAGGGCCGTATACCGATCCGTAGGGCGGCATCCCTAGGGCCGTATACCGATAAATAGGCTCAGGATACGAATACCGATCGATTTTACCGAAAGTAACGAGTAACGATACGATAGTAACGAGTACTGGTTCACCGAGTAACGAATACATACGGGTACACAATTTCTCGTTACTTCTACAGCACTAATAAACACTGAAACTTCACTACACTTCTTAACCAGTACTTTTTCAACAAGGTCTATAGATTAGGTTAACTCAGTCGTAGAATGTTATGTTTTTAAGTCAATAAAGAAACAAAAGGAAATTTTTGGCTGATGTTTTCTTTTCGAATAAATAGTTAAAAAAGCAAAAGAATATTTTTTTATGTCATTTAAGGAGTCGTGTGAAAGTTGGCAACACTGTTTTCCTTTTAGGTTAATCTAGAATTTGTATATCGAGAGGTGCGAGTGTGAGGTATAATTCCTTATATTGCGAGTAGATTTATATTTGTTTATTTTTGGTTTACTTAACACTTAAGGAATTTTCACATAGCGTGTTAACAGATTTTTTGTAATGTAAGCAATGAGTGGAAATTTTTCTGCTGTGTGTTAACTAATAATTTTGATATTGCATTTGCATGAATGTGCAGTGTTTAGAAGTTTTTGATCTGCTTTATTATAAATTCTGATTTTGAGTTTGTTGATAGTAATTCAATATTATATATTATAATTATTTTCAGAATGCTTGATCTAAGGCCAAACAATACAATATACATCAATAATCTGAATGAAAAAATTAAAAAAGAAGGTAAGTTTCATTTATTATATATTGTGTTAAACATTTTGAAATTTATAAAACATTGTTTAGAGTATTGCAAATTGTATATTTCAAATCCCAGCACATGAACTTCTTTTAGAACATGCTTTATTTCAATGAAAAAACTGTGTAGTATAAATGTGCCTGTACAGGTTAGATAGGTGCAGAAGAATATTAAAGTACTCCATATTTTTAAATATCTCGGCTTTTTTGTCGAAAATTTCTAGTAGATATAAACGCAAGGAAGAATTCTAAAACTGGATAAAATCAAGATTTGCCATATTTTTTTACCTTTCTGCGATTATGAATTGTTTCTGCGGCTGAAGTGCAGAATCGCCCACTTAGTTGATTGGCGTTTGTTTGGCGCTTTTTACAAGAGTAAGAATTCGATTTTTGTCAATTTCCTTTGACTTTTTAAGTGAAAATAGGTCAATGTGTACATGGATAAAGTGAAAGGAGTGTGCAATGCCATTTTTGTGCAATTTTGGAATGAATTTTTTTAAAGTGAAAATAAGTTGATGTGTACATGGATACTGTGTATGTGCAATTCTTAAAAATGCACCAAGCAGTCGGCGTTTCTGCTTTCTCTACATAACTGACAATCAAGAAAATTATACCAATTTGAGCTCTTAATTGGTACACTGGTTTTTATTGAATGATACATGATCTAAGTTTAATCAAAGCAGTTTATTTGGCTTTAGTGTAGAACTTGTGTGCCCCTTCGATTAGCGACAATTGTGGCGATATGTGTTCTGTGCTGGTTTTGGGCACGATTGCGTGTTGTATGGCAAACCTGTTGACATTGAAAAGTCTTTCGTTGGAGTCTGTTGGTTTGCGTCTGTGTCTGAGAAGATGGGGAAAGATAAAATGTTGGAAGTTGTTGAATTGAAGTTCGGCAAAAAGAAATATCAATGTGGCCATCCTGTTGAAGGGCAGTGAGTATTTGGAAGTGTGGAAAGAGGGTCTGGGAGATTATTTTTAGTGGCTGTGCATCATAGAAGTAGGGATTTGTGATTTTATTTATTTGTGAACCATAGTATGAATTTTCTGGATAGTGTGACTCGCTGTTATATAAATATGATAGTGATTACGTGGCGCCATGTTAAAAGCGTTATGAAATTGGTATATCTGCTCTTCGAAAAAGCATCAGTTCATGGTGAGTGCATTTTATTTTATTCTTGTTCCTATTTTGTAGAATGTTATGCTAATTTTTTTATTTAGTATGAATTTCTGTTATTGTTTTTTTTTTTTTTTTTTTGTTTGTTTGAAATTTATTTTAGTTTATTTTGTCGATTAGTGCGTAGTGTCTAGGTTGGCAATTTGTAGATGTTTTTTTAAGTTTAAACAGGATGCTGTGTACATGCTATTCTTTGAAAATTATTGTTGTTATGTTAATTTATTAAAGCAAGGTGTGTGTAGTTTGTAGATTCGTTCGTTGCCTAGATTATGCCATCCGTAGATGTTTTTTAAGTTAAATATTGGCAAGAAAATGCCAATATTTTTGGTTAGAAACTTTACGTTTTTGCTATCTAAATTTTTTTTGTTTCGGATTTTTAGCTTAAATTGTGTGTTCAAAACGTAGTTTTTGCGTGTGCAAAAACCGGTTTTTGGAGACATTTTTAGGCTTAAAGTTCAAAATGTAGAGGAAAAATTTAAATAGTAAAATGGCAGCGTGGAGTTTCTCGCCAAAAATGTTTGCCGACTTGAGGGCGCATATCAGAGTAGTTCCCAGACTTTAACTTGGTATATTTCCGAATGTAAGCCGATCCATGTATAAATTGAAAATATGTTTTTCTTCAAAAATGTACCCAGAATTCAAAACATGTATATAAGCCGAAATGAAAAAAAAAAAAAAAAAAAATCCTGTAACATTCAAACATGTCGCCAGAGGGCGAAGATGTTGCCAAATCAGATGGAATATTTTCCAGTTAAATTGCTGTGAAGTAAAATGTCTGCCAAACTGTTCCCAAAGCTAGCACATTTTTTTTCTATTCGTTTGTGGTCTTGCATATGATACTGTGGTCGATGGAAATCTAGACATGACATAAAATTCAAGAAAGCACGTCGCGAGGGGGAAAAGTCCTGATAGTGCAAATGCCAAAGAATGGAAATCAAAAAAACTGCCCGAGCTTCTTGAAAATTTTTCAGCAGATGACATCTACAATGCTGACGAGACTGGGCTGTATTATCGTGCTACACCGGATGGCTCGTTAAATTACAAACATGTTGCACTCTCTGGCTCCAAAAAAGCGATGGATCGCGTAACCGTTTTGTGCTGCTCAAACATGTCAGAAACGGACAAAAGGACTGGAGTACTGGCCCAGTGTGCTGACCACCACGTCAAGAAGGTGGGAGAAATACCTTATATAGTACTTACTCAGATTTAAAATCAAGCAGAAAGAGAATCAGGTGATTTCCGGTGATCATTGTCTTCCAATCCTAAAGATCCATGTCTTAATTTGATGAGTATTT